GATATTATTTAGTATGGTCTTTTATATCTGATTTCGCAACAAAACCAAGTCAAAGTGAAGATATTTTCCGTCAATTTCCTGAACTTGTACGTGAAAATGCTCAATTTCAACACCTGAAAGTGCTTCTAATGGAAGATGGTGTAAAAGGAAAATTTAAAGGATTTCTTCATTTTTACAATGCTACAAGTGGGGAGACTGTGCCTTCTTGTGATAGACATTTTACAATAAGAAATGCGCAGGTGGAGTTTTAATTGAAATGTTTTGACTCTTAGAATTCGAACTACTACCTATTTTGTAAACTAACAATAAAGCTCTCATTACACAAAAAAGTTAATTTGGCAGAGATAAACTAAGCGATACCTCCCCATCTTTGGTAGATTTTATTTTTGAAATCCTAATACTACTGAAATCCTAATATGTTTAAGGTTAAAAATAATTACTTCAAGGTAGTCTGTCGTGAGCTTGGCTTTAGCTCTCAAAATGCTTATCATTGGCTAACTCCACAATGGTCATACAATCCAAAAATCAGAATAGTTAAAACTTATATGGAACCTAGAGAATGTCGGGGGTTTGAACATCGTTTAGAACAATGCAGTTAAAATTCTAGTTAAATCTTCTCATTTAAATTTTTATTTTCTTCAGCTCTCCGTTTAACCGCTCTCCTCACAGATTGGCAATGTATGGATAATGAACATTTTAATTATATTCATTGTGGCCAGGATTCTTCCCTCTCAAATGAATTTATTGGACATTGGGGTGGTATTACTTTTGCTAGATATGGACTTGATATTGGGGAGGAAAAGGAGAAGAAGGAGGAGGGGAATAATGGTTATGAAAAGGAAATTGGAAGTGGAGGGGATCGTTCTATTTTGAGGCATGTTGAGTTGGTAGGGGGAGGTAGAGCACACAATAATTCGTTCTTTGAGGCTGCACTTCAAGTCATACAGAGGTGAATTAATTTTTTCCTTCAATATCTCCACGATATTTTACTGATTTATCAAAATTCTACCTTATACTTAGATGCCCTATTATGGAGAATGTCAACGTTACCAACTCATCAATGGGTGCAATGCAAGTATTACTCCCGCCTTGCGGCAATTTATTACTTACTCGATTAAATATCTCTTGCAATCATGGAATAGGCTTAACTATTCTCTCGGCCGGTCTTCTACATTCTACCACTACTCACCATTATTCAGGCAGACCAAATAGAGGAATACCTTCACTTTCAATTCTTCAATCTCAACATTTTATCCCTAAAGGCCCTCTTAATATTCCATATCAAATTCCAGGATTTTTGGATATTTGTTCTTCCGGAAAAGAAATTAAAATAAAAACTAGATTAATTCTTTTTTACAAATATGACTCTTTTGCTGTTGATTGTGTTAAAATATTTAAATCTGTTGATGGAAGGAATCTTGGTTTTAGATTTTTACAAGTGAGTGTGATTAATTTTTCTTCCTTTTTTTAAATTTTTCTAGAGACTTTATTTTTCCTTAGTTTTTAATACTTTAATTAATAATACTTTAATTATTTTTTAAATAATATTAAGGCAAATTTCTACTCTGGACCTGTTGGAATCCCTCGTTCAGACAAATTGTCTATTTATTCTGGATCATCTTTTTCTTCATCTTCCCTTTTACGTTCATTTAATTATTTATCGAATTTTGACGAATCTGGCAGTATCACAACTCAGTCCTCAATTATTTCAATTCATCTCAGGGCAACAGCTGCCGATGGAGAATTCGGATTTTTGGCAGAAATTGCCACTCTTCCCGCTGTTCCTTTGCCTCGTAAAGGTGTTGATGAAGTTGCTATTCGTGCTTCTCGTATATTAAATAATGACAGAGGGGCTATTAATTACAAAAATTTGGGAGAGATTGGACCTAATGTAATTATTGAACAATGTGCTATTGATAGAAATGGATATCATCTTTATGGAAATATTTCTACTTCAACTGCAGCTGTTAATATGGATGTACATAATACTTTGGTGATTATTCTTGAACCTTATTTTCAGATACCCCAAGAATTGGATACACCTCGATTTATGATACATACGTTTTACTAACACTAGGCAGACTTCCCAAGCGATATCCCCAATCTAAAGTATCCCTCATTGTAGGTACGATCTTTTTGGACCGATTAGGGCATCTAAAAGGTGTTTCGACAAATTTTTTTCTTAGTAAAGTATCCAATCATTTTTTGATAATTAGCCTCCTCAGATGAGAGAGAGATCTATGATAGAGAGAACCTCTCCTCAGATTCTCTCCTCAATAAATTTTCCTTAATAGTTCCGGGAAATTTAGTTATAAATTCAATAAAATTTTTATTTGACAGCTTTTTTTCTTCCGTGCCAATTCAATTCGTTATGGCCGTGGAGGACTTTTTATTTCTGCTAAAAGTTCAAGTTCAATGTCCCGTTTAAGAGCAGTTATTAAAAATAATGCCATTTTAATGAATTCAAATTCAAGTATTTTAACATTTATTGGAAATGGATTACAAAAAGTTGATTTTCTTGCAAATTTAATTAGTCTAAATTATGCTCTATATGCTGACACGGCAAAAATAATTATTTTTAATTTTTTAATAAATTATATTTTAGGTTTTTTTAAACGGTGTTTCGGCCAATTTCTCTCACAATATAATTAATAAAAATGTTGGCTGGCATATTTTAGATACTTGTAGATTAAATGGAGAATTGAGAGAAGAAACTGCGACAGAACTTTATTTCCAAAATAATTATCTTAAAGATAATTTAGCATTAGGGCATGGAAATCCTTACATTGAACGTTATGGATTTCATGATGGAAACGAACTGGATGAGTTTGTGGAAAGAAGGCCTAAAAGACAAGTAAAATACTCTAAAATGGCTTATTTAATTTATTTTGGAAATAGGGGAAGTTAAACTGGATCAAAACTTCCTATTAGTTTAAGTTCTTACTGTTATTCTATAGCCAATAAAATATAAGAATGATTTTACCTAACGACATTTTATGCATGTGTCAATAAAATTTTTACATATATCCGACATTTTAGTGGATAAATTCTTTATATCGGGCCAAGCCCTAATATTTACTAAAGTCAAATATAAAAAATTTTCCAAAACGTTCATAATCTTTACTATCAGGTTCTCAGCCAAAAAGGTGTTAGTTTTGACTGGTGGACTCATATTGGTGCTGAAAGCAGTCGTTATCGTTCTACAATTCTTTCTGGCTCTGTACACCAACTTTATTCCCGAAATTTATTCGACAACCCTTTAAATGATTTTGAATTGGTTACTACTCAACATGAAAGTCCTCAATTCGATATTTCTTCAATAAATGCAAGATATAATTATTGGGGTCCACCAGGCACTATTGGAACGGCTGCGGGTAAAATACGCGACCAACATGATGATCCACTGCTTATACGTGTAGATTATGACCCTGTGTTGGAATCGAATACCTCCCTTATTGAAGGTATTTTTAATAATATATTGAAGATTTAGGGAGTGGATTTTTTATTTATAGGAGACTGCCCAGCTGGATGGTTTCTGGTTGGCAGGGAAGAGTTTAAATCCTGCTTTATTTTTATTGGAGCAGCATCTACATATTCTGATGCTGTCCAAACCTGTCAATATTTGGATGCATTTTTGCCTATAATGCAAACTGGAGATCCTCGTCAAAAAGAACTTGCTGCAAAAATAGATATTTTAAGTCAATTATATATTACTGAATTGGAAAGAATTAACTCTTTTGGAGTAAATTGCTTATAAATTAAATTAAAAAAATATTTTTTTAAAAGTTTGCTTATGATATTCCAATTTGGATTGCAAGTTTAACAATTCCTTCAAATCAGTGTGGATGGATGAGTTCTAGAACAGCTAGTATTGGAGAGCAGAATTGTCATAACTTATTACCTTATGTTTGTGAACGAGGTGAATTGTTTATTTATTTAGTTGAAGTCATTTATTGAAATCAAGTTAATTGTCTATCAAATTTTATTTAAATTGCATATTAAAGGAACTGGGCCCTATCAAGAACCTCTCTTATGGCGAGCTGATTTTTTACTTGTTTCGATCTCAATAATTTTATTTTTTATTGGCATTTTTTTACTCATCATATGTGCATTTTGTAAATCAAATACAAAAGACAGGCAATTTACTCGAAGAAAACAATTTGTAAGAGATTCTATAAGAAGTAATCAGCAATTAATACAAATGAGGCAACAACAATTACAACAAAAACCTGTGGAAGGAAATGAAAGTTTATCTGAAAGTTTTGAAAGCCCTTCAAGTAACTCTTCTAATAATTCTGGACATTATTATGGTGAATGTTGTTCTAATAAAGAAGGAAATGCTGGGGAAAGTAGTTATTATGCACAATTACCTGAAGATGATCAACAAATTAATGAATGTTGCTTTCCAACATTGTATGCAATTAAATGATTAATTAGCGTTCCGAAATCATTCTCTAAAATTGACCTCATTTGAATTATTTAAAAAAATAAAGATTGTTGGGCTACTGGACCATTGAAGCCACGATATAATTTCTTAAATTAAGAGATAATATATTTTTTAATTATCGGCTAGGGCTAGCTTCTAGGCAATTTCTTCCTAAATGTGTAAATTAACGTATTTACTCGATACTCTGAATAATTATTTTTTCAACATCTTCAGGGGAGGGGGTAGTGGAAGGTAGTTATTTTTTTCATTATTTGGAGTAATTATTCGAAGGAGGATAATTAATCAAGTAAATGTTATATAAATTTTATTTAGAGATAATAATACTTTAACAACAACCCCAACATTTGCTTCTTCTACTCAATGTAGTAATTCTTCCCCTTTTACTTCCTCCACAATTAGTGAAAAATACTTTGATTGTTTGTAAGTTTATATTCCAAAAATTTATTTAAAAATTCAAAATTTTATTAGAAATAATTCAACAAATAATTCTTCAACTTTTAAAAACCCTAAAAAATATCGGAATAAAAATTTTAGTTCAAATTCAACATTAAAAATGGAAAAAAATAATAAACAAAATTATTTATCTATTGAGGTAAATAAAGAAAAATAAATTAAAAAAATATTTTTAAAATTATTTAAGAGGGTTAATGAATTAACAACAAACAATTTAACTAAACGAGAAAGGAATAAAAGAAGAAAAGTGAATTATAATATACCCACAACAACAATAAATGAGGAGGAATATATTAATATTGGAATTAGGTAAATCTTTGTTTTTTTATATAAAATTTCTATAAAAATTTTAAGGCCTTCACTATTCCCAAAAAATAAGAATATGAATAAAAGAGATGAATTTACACGTGAAACTACAATGTAAAATTTTATAACAGACAAGGAAAATATATAAATTAATTTTATATTTCCAAATATTTGTTGTTTAAATTAATTTATTTGATCTCTACTTTTTACATAAAAATAATTTAAATTATTTTTTAAGTATATTTTTATGATTTTTAATAATATTTTCCCATTTAACTTTATTTGCGCGTTCAATAAAATTTTATCAAATTTTAATTTAAAATACAAACTTCAAAAGTCCTGAAGCCCAAAATTCCATAACTCTAAATTCTCTAACTCAAATTTTTAAAAAATAATTCTAAAAATAAATCATTTAGCAAAATAATCCGCATCCCGTCACGAAATACAGAGGTTCAGAGACAGAGATTATTAATCCATTCATAATTATAATCCTAATTAATTATTTAGCTTAGGGAAATTTTAAAACATTAAAAGTAAAGTTAGTTTATGAATCGCGCATTTAAACAATTTAGTTCCACGCTGTATTGTGTTAAGTTTAGTGTTCGACTTAACCTTCAAGCGTTTATCTTTTATTCAAATTTTAAAATTTTCATTTTTTGAAGATGGGAATATAAATTATTAAATATTTAAAGTCTTAATAAAAATTCTCTTAATTTCTAATTTTCAATAAACATTTTTAATTAAAAACAAATTTTTTGTTTGTGTTATAGAAAATAAAATCTCAACAATATCTAAGAAGTTATAAACAAAAAAAGAAAACATTTTTTATACATTTTAAAATTTACAAAAATTAAAAAAAAATTTACAATAAAATTTGCAACAAATTTAAAATAAAAAATTTAATTTTTATTTTAAATTTGTTTTACTTTAAAAAAAGTTTTGTGAAGATAAAAAAATTTTTTTTGTTTGTTTATCATTTGTTTACAATAAATTATTTTTAAAAAATAATTTAAAATTTTTAAAACATTCCATCCCATAAATTTCCAACTTTCCAATCCTCCATGAATTTAATATTATTTCCAAGCAATTTATTTTCGAAAAATATTTTTCCTTTTGCATGTCCAATTAAAATATTAAAAGTCTAAAAATTAATTTTTAATTTAAAAAATAAAAATAAATAATTAATTACCGATAATCTAAATTCAATTGTTGTTAAATTTAACTCTTCTTTTTCACCGCCATTAAATATTTTCATTTGTTCCAAAGCTTTACTTTCTATTTTTTCTAAAAATTCTTTTGTAAATATTTTAACATTTTTTTCGTTATTTTTAACATTTTTTATTTCATCTAATTTATATATTAAATATATAATTGCTGCTTTATTTCGAATTTGGTTAAGAATTGGTTTCAATTCATTAATTAATGGATCTAAAAATTGTTTTTAAAAATTTATTTGTAAATTTAGTTGCCGAAACTCTCGGTTATCCTATTTTTTCCTCTTCCGGATATTCAGAAATTTATTTGTAAACAAGGGATTTTGAGAACAAAGTTTTCCAAAAAGTGACGGTGGGATATTTTTATGGCATTAATGACCCTCCTCAATTTCCTAAAAAATATTTTTTAAAATTAACAAAATTTTACTTTTATCAGCTAGAAATTTCTCTTCCAATTCAGTATATTCATCTTTTAATTCAACTTTATTTTCATTAAATATTTTCAATTTTTTAAACTTTTTCTTAAATTCTTCCAATTGTTTTTCCTTCAATTCTTCTTTATTTAAATGTTTTTCCCCTTTCTTTTCCTCAGAAATTATTTCTCCTTCTTTAAAATATTTATCAGCTTCAATTTCATTAATAATCCCTTTTATTTCATCTTCCAAATCAAATATTTTTTCATTAAATAAATCTATAGAAGTTCCGATATTTTTAATTTCATCCCATTTTTTCTCCAAATTTTTACAAGCTTTTAATAATTTTTCTATTTCTAATTCTGCATTATTTTTTGTTTTATTTTTAATTTCTTTTGCCATTGTAGCGAGACTATCAACTGATTTTGTTCTAACAATTTTCATCAAAGATCCTTCCTTTTTCTCATTTTTAATTTCTTCCTTATTATTCTCTTCTTTATTTTCTTCCTCCTTTCCTTCTTTTTGTTTTTGTGTTGGTTTTATATTAACTATTTTTTGGGCTTTAGAAATTATTTCTGTAAAATTTCTTTCTGCTTTCATTACGTTTTCTAAACTTTTTTTTTCTTCAATTGTTAATATATAATTTTTTAATTCCTTTTTTTCTGTTTCCAATTGGGATTTACTATCTTTGTAAAAAATTTTTAAGCTATTTATCTGAAAATAATTTTTTAAAAAATATTTATGTAAATTTTTTGGTTAAATTAGGAATACATAGTTAAAGTACTGCTGGTCATTTCCTATCTAATTATATAATTGAGAAGAGTGTGTCTGTCTGTTTGTCCTTTTATAGACAAGTGGGTTTTTATAGTAAAATGATTTGGGGGAGTGAGGAAATGGGGGCTTTTATAGTAAAGCGTTGCCTGTTGAAAAAAGTTGTGAGGGTAAGCAGATAGTATAAAAGCAGGGTATTTTGATCATTCTTCAACTGCTATCAACACTTCTCAACATTGCTGTGCTCTGTTCTACGTTTGCTGGAGTCCTGTGTTTTCTTGAGTTAGGCGTCAACGTTCATTTGTCAAGTGCTAGGCGTCAACGTTCCGGTGCTAGACGTCAACGTTCATAAGAAGTGCTAGACGTCAACGTTCATGTGTAAAATGATAGGCGTCAAATTTCAGGCGAATATTGAAAGGGGGAATTGTGAAACAGGCGGAATATTGAAGTAGGGGGAATGGTGAAGCAGGCGGAATATTCAAACAAGGAATTGTGAATCAGGCGGAATCTTGAAACAGGTGGAATTGTGAAGCAGGCGGTATTGTGAGGGGAATTGTGAAGCAACGGGAATTGTGAAGGAGGCGGAATATTGAAACAGGTGGAATTGTGAAGCAGGCGGTATTGTGAGGGAAGGGGAATTGTGAAGCAACGGGAATTGTGGAGCAGGCGGAATATTGAAACAGGTGGAATTGTGAAGCAGGCGGTATTGTGAGGGAAGGGGAATTGTGAAGCAACGGGAATTGTGGAGCAGGCGGAATATTGAAACAGGGAATTTTAAAGGAGGCGGTATTGTGAGGCAAGGGGAATTGTGAAGTAGGCGTAATATTGAAGCAGGAGGAATGAAGGGGGATGTGAAGCAGGCGGAATATTGAAACAGAAGGTATTGTGAAGCAGGAGGAATATTGAAGCAGTGGGAATGAAGGGGGATTGTGAAGCAGGCGGAATATTGTAAAGGGGGGCTTGAGAAGCAGGCGGAATATTGAAACAAGGTGAATTGTGAAGCAGGCGGAGTATTTAAACTTGGGTAATTGTGAAGTAGGCGGAATTGTGAGGAGAAAAATGGGTAAGCGAGATTGGTTGGCCAAAGGCTTTTGAATCGGATCTTAAGACGAATAGTTTTGTTATGCTAGCGGAGTTACACAAGCGCCTTTGTGTATCCTATCAGGTGCGTTTATTAGATGCTTGTTTTGGTAATCAGGAACTGTTTTAATGCTGGTCAATGTTTTGATGATCGGGTTTTTATGTTTATGATTGGATTAGGGCCATTCTGAGGTTGTGATAAGTTGATTTGGAGTTTGTTTTTTGGTTTGTTTTTGCTAGCGGGGTGGGGCGGCCGAAGGCCGACCAACTCCGCTAGTTTATATAAACTGGATACTTTGTTCCCGATTTGGAGGGAACTACTGAATTTTACTTGAACTTTTTTGCAATTTAATTTAGCTTTAAAACAAGTAAACAAACAGATAACTCTGTTATATCCCATATTATTATCCAGAACCCTAATTATATTAAATAATTTTTTTTAAATTAAAGGAAATATTTCGAAACCTTTTTTCCTTTTTCTCTTTGCAAATCCGAATATTTATAAATTTCTTTTATAATTTCATCTCTAGAATTTTCATAAATTTCAACAGATAGTTCCTCCATTCTATATATAATTTTATTTTTTAATTTATTCCATTCATTTTCTGCCAATTTATTAGCCTCTTCAACCTCTTCATTTTTTGTTATTTTTAATTTATTCAATTTTTCAATTAAAATTTTTATTTCTTCAATTTTTGTTTCAGATCTATTTTCTAAATCTTTTTTTATTTTTTCTAATATTTCTTTTTTTATTTCAATTTTTTGTTCATCTTTAATAAACTTTTTTAAATTTTCAATAAAAAGAATATTTATATCTTTATTTTTTATTGATTTGTGATTTTCTTCGGGTTTTGCTGATTTTTGGATCAACATTTTATTGTCGCTTGACAGTTCTGGACTGCTTTTTAAATTATTTGCCATTATTTCAATTAGTTCGACGCTAGCATCTTAAAATTTAAAATTTTTTAACTAATTAAAACGATAAAAAGACGGCAGTTTATATGTCTGTTATTTTACCCTTATTTATTAGAGTCGAGATATTTAAAGGCAAATAGGCTGGAAGCAGGGATGGGACGGTAGAACGTGTTTTTTCGATCAGATACCCAAACCCGACCCGAAAAATTTTCTTTTTCAAACCCCGACCCGACTTTTTTCTCAACCCGTCCCATCCCTGGTTGGAAGAAACTTTGCCTAATGCACATATGTATCTAATCTTTCCTTCATTCTATCCTATCCTTTTCTCAATCAAGAGGAAGGATTTTCGATTCCCTGATTCGACCTGACTCGTAAGCTTGGAATAGTAACTTTGAACCTTCTTAATTTCTATCATTTTAATGTTTGATTTTACAACAATATTTAAGATTACTGTGTAAATAGATCAAAAAGCTTTTAATGGACAAATTTTTTCCTGGATTCTTATTTTTTACTTTTTTATATTTTGAAAAAATAATTATACTTAATTATTTAATATTTAAAAATTAAAAATAAATAAATTTATTTACTTTTATCTACATTCAATTCACTCCAGAAATTCTCAGAATGGATTCTTGCTTTTGCTTTATAAAAGAGTGCTCCAGAGAGTGCTCCAGCAGACAATACTCGTTTTAAGGACATATTCACGCCTGCATTACTTTTCGAATCAGATTTCTGTTTGATGTCTTTTTTTTCTATTTCTGTTTGGCTGCTTTGTTCTTCTGGCTTTACTTTTGCTGAGGCTTTTGTTTGGGAATTCTTGACATTTTTGTGTGTTGAATTCTTTGGAATTAACGGTTTCGCTTTTGGACTTTCTAATTTAAATTCAGAATTGTTAGTCTCAATTTTTGTATTCCCGATTCCATGAATTAAAACAAAAATTGTTGTAAATAACAAAAAACAAATTAAAATTTTGTTTTTCATATTTTTTTCTGAAAAAATAAAAAAAATTATTTTCTTAAGAATTTATATATAAACAACTTCCTTTAAACATGCTTTTAGGGGAATTAAAAGTTAAAATAAAAATTAATTTCTATAGACTGACAATATTCTTTAATTTTTCTCAAGAATTTATTCTGGGAAAAATCCTGGCGAAGAGGCAGCTTCTCCGCCCTGTCTAGACTTCTCTAATGCCATTGAAGATTTTTACAGACAAACGTGACTTTAATTTTCTAGACAATGAAGTTAAAATTTAAAAAATTTTAAAGACAAAGGAAAATTCTAGACGTTTCTTTAGAAGGGCAGGCAGACACTCCTCGAGAATGCCCTTTTCCTCTTCCTTTTTTAAATTTAAATTTGGCATTTTAAAAAGTTAGCCGTGTATTTTAATTTCTTGTTTGCCTATTAAAGTTTTAAATTAAAATTTAATTTTTATTTTTATCTAAAATTTTGTTTAAATTTTAAATTTTGTTTTAATTTTAAGCTCTCACAACAACCAGTGGTCATCCAAATTTAAAAAATTTTATTTACAATAAAAGTCCTTAATTTTAAATTATTTTGAAATTAAAACTTTTTAAAATAAACAATTCTTTTTTATTCTATTTATTTAAAAGATTGATGACAGAAAAAATTATAACTATTATTAAAGGTATTTGTTTTTGCGCACTCATTTTTATTCAAAGGCGCTATTTGAAATTAATTATTTTTTACGTTAATATTTTTCAAGGTTATTTAATTTATAAATTGCTTAAAAAATAAATTTTTGATAAAAAATAGACAAAAAATATTTTTGAAAATAATTTAAATTTATATTTAAATTTAAATATAAAATGTTTATTTTGTTATTTTTACGGTTAATCTAACATCTCATTAAATTTATTAAATTTATTTACACTTTATAAGATGATATATTTATTTAAATAAATCGAGAATTAATTTAATGCTCTAATTAATCTTTCGGAATTTGTAAAAGTCTGGCAATTGAAGTTTATATGTCAATAACAACAGTATTTTATTAAAAATTAAATAAACTATTCAAATTATATTTATTAAAATTAAAATTACTAAAAAACTTTTATTTTTAAATCATTCAAAAACAAAAAAAATTAATTATTAAAATTTAAAAACAAAAAAATGGGGACAGTCATTCATAAAAAAAGATCCGCTAAAAAGATAAATAAAAACCCGCAATTGGAGGGAGATGATGATGAAATTTAAAAATAAAAGAGAGAGAAAATTAAGAAATAATTTATTAAAAATTGTCAAAAAAAAGTAGAAGATGCGCGAGAAATTTTGATGAAAATTAAATAAAAATAAGTGATTAATGCTTTTATTTGAATAAATTAATTTTTCAATAAAGTTCCTTCTAGTTAATTTAACTAAAAGTAATTTTCAATAAAAGTAATTGCTATGAAATTTTTAAAAATTTAGCGAAATTTAAAAGAAAAAACATTGGAAGTGAGTTTTGGTCAGCTGAATATTTTTCATCTGTAGCTAATGAAATAAATATTTTTTCGATGCTTTCAAGTGCCATCAAAAAATGAGTTTCCATCAAAAAATTTAGCAAAAAATTTTATTTATTATTTTAAAATAAAATTAATTTTCCAATAAGTTTACATTAAAATTATTTTAAATTAATTATTAAATTATCGGAATTTTAACACATTTCCCATGCTTTTAAAAATATTTGTTGCAAAATGATAAGAATTTTGATGATGACAATCGTGGGAATTTTAATTAAAATAAATATGTAAATAAATTAATTTATTTTAAATAAAATAAAAATAATTATTTTCTTTAAATAATAATTTAAAAACGTTCATTTAAATTTAATATTATGTATTTTTTGTGTTAGCTTTTTTTAGCTTTTATTTCAATTCAAATTATAAAAAAATTAAAAATCTCATAAAATATTATTTAAAATTAAAAATATATTTATTTTATTTCTCAATTTATTTCCTTCTTTAACACTTGAATAATAAAAATAAATAAATGTTTCAATACTTAATTGAGAGAAATATTTATTTATTTATTCAATTGCCCTTTTATTGAAAATTATTCACTTTTGAACAAATATTTGTATTACAATTTTAATTTCTTTAAGGAAAGTAAATCAAGAGGATTTTAAAAGGAAATGTGTATTTTAAATAAATAAATAAATAAAAGAAAAATCCGAGAAAATTTTTAAAAATATTTTTAAAATCAAAAATATTGAAGTTGTCAAATATAATAAATAGGATATTCTTTTTCATTATAACAGCAAGTAAGTCTATACTCTTAATGGGTATCTCAGACAGAATGTAAGCTAAGAATCTCTAAATTTCTTTTTATTTCGTTTCAAATTAATTAAATTAATTTAAATTTTATTTTATGAGTCACAACCAATATCAGTCAGTATCAATTAAATTTATCAAAAACTAATAAATAAAAACTTTAAATTGTTTTTTCTACAAAAACAATGAATCACCAAATATCACTTTGATCAATTTATCAAAATCCGGTCTAAACTATGGAAAGAAGACGAATTTTTTATTATCATTAACTTGTTTTAGAGAGAAGGTATTTAAAGAATTAGATTTACTGATTTTAATGTTGAATCATCAATTGGACCTAATAATTAGAAAGAACGTTGGTGGGTGTTTGTACTAATAATGCTCCAAAATATTCGTTAACAGAAATTTTCCGAACCGGACATTCCTAACTATCATTATTTATTGAAATAATAACGAAAATTAATTTATATCTGCTTAGTTTTATGAAATTGCCTTTTTTAGTAGAAAAAATTTTTTTATTTAAAAACAAAAAATTTGTTTTTCATCGTTTACTTTTCCCGTCTTTCAATTACCTCCCAAAATAATTGTAAAAAATATTTTAGTTTAGTGTTGCATTCCCCGCATTTTCCTTTTCTTTTTAATTTTAATCCGCTTTGACATAATAAATAAAAATAAATAAATAAAAGTGATACCTTCAAATTAATCCAATTAATCCGCTCACAATTTGTGGCTATTAATATATTTTTGTGTCTTAATTAAAGAAGATTTGTGACCTCCAATTAAGTGAAAGGAAACATCAAAAAAAGGGAGAATAAAAAAAAGTTTTTTGAAAAATAAAAATAAATTAATTGAAGACTTTAAACAGAAAAAAACTTTTAAAAACCAAAATAATTTTTTTTAATTTTTTATCAAATAATTAAATACGTATGTTAAATAAACAAATTAAAATAAATTTTAAAAAACTAAATAAGTCCCAATTACCTATAAACCTTGTTTTTCTTTAAATAAAAAAAATAAAAATTTTTTAAAGAAATTAGAGTCAATTTAAAAATATTGTAGACACTTTTTAAATTAAGTCAAATCTCGTTATAATATACCAGTCATGTATATATAATATGATTTAGTCTAAATTTTTTAAATTTATTTGAACATTGAGTAGAGATGTATAAGTGGGAGATGTATAAAAACCCTTCAAATTTTTATATAAATAAGATACTTTCAGCATCAATAAAGTATAATACAATAACGAGAACAAATGTAACTAGTTTCAGAAATATTTTCTAATTTCACAGTTATTTCAAAAATCTTTAAGGGATTAGAAATTGGATAAGGAAACAATTTATGATCAAATTTAATCTATGAAAAGATTTTTAGCTATCATATATTTAATTTAAATAATTTGACATTTGTTTTCTTTTAGTGTTAAAAAATGAAAATATTTTAATTTAAAACAATAACTGTATTAATTGTTTCCAAATTATTTGCTTAAATTAATTTTTAAGTCCTTTAAAACGATTAAATAAAAACTGTCAATTCTCTCACTTCTTTTTAACCTTCAATTAATTTTTATTTATTTTATTCCCTCTCTAAATATATTAAACGAATTGCGGGAGAAGTAAATTTATATTTGGGTTAAAAATCTTATTTTCTTCATTATTCGCTAACCCCTCCCCCTTTTTAAACTTTCTCCCCCCCCCCTCCTCTCTATTATTTTTTTGACAATTTAAAATTAATTGAAAAATAAATATTCTTAAAATTAACCGGTCAATCACTCCTCTCTTTTTTTATTTTTCCCCTCTCTCCGTTCCATTCATTTGCGCAATATTTATTAATTTAGTGCCACTTTTTATTTTCTTTTTTTAATGCGCGAGAAACGTCGCCTATCAAAACCATTTTATTATTTTTCCCTTTTTAATTTTCGATTATTCATCTTTTTTTTAATATCCTACTATTTTCTTTTATTTTATTTTTGATAAATTTTTGAATTTTTTAAAATTATTTGAGAATCCAATTTAAATATTATTTTATTATTTATATTTTCCTCTTAATGAAAAATAATTAAAAAGGAAAATTAAGGAAAAATTAAATTTTTGATTATATTTTAGAAATTATTTTCAAAAATATTTTAAAATAATCTCAATTTTAAATACTTCTCCCTTGATATAACGAGGTGAACAACCAGATTTTAAATGGAAAGTTATTTACTTTTGGGAATATTTAAGTTCTGTGTTCATCTATATTTTTAATTTTGTTTTGTTTAATTAATTAAATGATCCAGAAAATATAAATTAAAAAGGTAAAATGATTGATATACTTTAACTCTCTTTTAAGTGAAATTAATGATACACGCCTTTTGCTAAAATATTTGGGTTAAATATTTCCCGCAAAAATTTCCGAATTAACACACACAAAGAGTTTATATTTCATTAAAGGTGATTATGCAACAATTTTAAATGAAATAGAAAAAATGTTTATTTTTTATTAACAAATTAATAAAAATTATTTATTTCTTTAAAAATTTTTAAATTTTTCTTTTTTAATTATTCTCTAGAAAAAATTTTGGAAAAGTATTTTTTGGAATTTTTTCTAAAAAAATTTGGAAAAAAAGAAAAATATTTTTTCCAGAGGATAATTAAAAGAGAATTAATTATATTTCAATAAATTTTGTAAAATTTCTAAAATTTTGTAAATTTTTTCAAAATCAACTCCCTCTTTGCATCTTCTTCCAATAATTAATTTATCTTAAAACTCAAAAAATTTAAATATCCTTTTGGATAAACTTTCTGATTATTTTAAACTAGAGTTGCCCCTACACCGTTTCCGAAAGATTTTTTCGGATTCTCCCCGACTCAAACCTTATCCCTAAACAATTCAAAAATCCCGTCCTGGGGTGCAACCCTATTTTACACATCCCTAAAATTTCATCTCTCAATTTATTTTTTTATTAATTTTTTAATTTTTATTAGATTATACATATATTTATCTCCACAAAACTAATAATTATTATTTTTTAATTTCTGGACATTTCCTTATTTAGAAAACACAAAAAATGTGATTATTAATCATTTAAAAGTCATTTGATTTGACCACTAATTATTTAAGACAATTTAAATAAAAAATTATTTTATCAATTTTACAGATATTTTTTTAACATTTCCTCCCTCCCTTTTTTCTTCAACAAACATTTAGCCCCTTTTCTCGCAAAAATAGAAATTCCAAAAAAATTTTATTTTCGAGAATGCAACGGTTTCTCGCGCAAAAATTAAATTAAAAAAAGTAAACAATTTTATACTAATAATTGGCAACAGAAATTGATACAGAAATAAATATTTTTTTCTTTTAATGTTCCAAAAAATGATTGGAAAAAGCAAGACAATTTTTATGTTTAATTGAGGGGAATTGAAGAAGAAAAAAGGAGAGAGAGGGAGACTTTTTAACGGAAAAAAATAATTTTTTGAGGGCGGGAAAGTAAAGTGGGGGGAAGGGAGACACTTTTTTGAAAAAAAATATTTCTTCTTCAGGAAATGATTAAATTAGTGTGTAAAGTAGAAATATAATTGCTCTTAAATGGCCAATTCTATAAAGATACATTAAATAATAAATAGTCGTTATTTTTGTGAGGAAGATTGAATTGAGAGCTTTACAGATATTAAAAAATTTGTTAGATTATTTAAAAATTTATTTAAATGAATTTTATCTCCTTAATTTAAGTCACTCTCGAGGTTACACAGTTCCAGAACGATTTTCTTGGAATCAGCTCTTGGAGTCGTGAAATTACTACTTGCTATAGCTGTTTTAAGATGGGGTGAGTCAATTCTAAGAGAGATGCGGCTATCTTTTGAAAATTTTTTAAAATAATTTTGATAATTTGTTTACAAACAAACTATTAATTAAATCGGCAACATTTCCTTCTAATTCTAAACAAAATTTATTCAATTCAGAATTTAGAATAAAAAGAGTTCTGCTTAGAATTAGGTAAGGAGTAGCTGTTAAATATATATTTGATAGTATTTTTAATTAATAATATTAAATTAAGTAAATTTATTAACTTTTTGTATTAAATATCGCCCTAATTTTATTTAAATTACAAAAAGTTTTTTTAAACGAACATTTGTCCCAAATCGGATTAACTAAATATATTTTGTATTCATTTAAGATAATATCTCTTCTTTATTTACTTCCAAAAAACATCTCCCTGCCCTCTAAAATTTTCTACATATTTAATCTAAATAAAGTACTTTAATTAATTTAAAAAATATTTTCTTAAAATTTTTATTTATTTTAGATATGTTATTTTTAAAATTAAATATTTTTAATTAAAAAATATTTATATTTTAAATTCTCCATTAAAAGGGAGAATAATTATTATGCCTTTTAAACTTTCCCCTTCACTTTGGATATTTTTATTTATTCACTTATTTATTCAAAATGTTAAATTATCACCTATAGATCCAAGAAGAAGAATTATCAGACAAAATAAAATTAATTTAAATAATGAAAGAAGATTAAATTTAAACAGGATAGAGGATTTAAATGAATTGGAACATGATAATATTTCTCCACCACATTGTACGAGGGCAACTGTAACTTTTACACAAGGATCTAAATGTAAGTTGATTTTGACTTGCTGTTTTTTAACACTAAAGGGATTTAAATATTTAAAATCCTTTCCCCCTTAGGCTGATTATAATGTAGTTAGGTATACAGGTAATATATCATTTGCGGTGGATATAACTCATTTTATGTTAAAAATTGTTCGGGGCTGTTTTTTTATGTTGATTGAAGTATGTATTAGAATTTGTGACTGTCAGAAAAATTATTAACTACCTAAATAAATTCTTTTAAAATTATTTTAGTAACAAAAAGGCAAGCAAATTCCTCATCATCTTCAATACGTTCACCTACATATTCCACACAACTTTCCTTAAATGTTGGTATTGGTCAAAGTGTTTGTTTTACTGTTGGTATTCCTCAACCTGTTAGTGCTGACTTGCAAATGAAGGAAAATAAAAAAGAAGACATCAAAAAGGATGAGGAAGAGGAGGAAAATGAAGAAGAACAACAAGTTATTACTCAACAAAAATCAAATTATTCTTTTATTGTTTCCTTGGCTACAAGGAGAAGGGGAAATATTAAAAATTCAAATGAAAAGTTAACAACACCCAAAATTGAACTTGAAGAATCAAATGAACTCGAAGAAAATATTTTGCATTCTATAACTGTTCTGGGGCTTGAACAGTATCATGCAATTACAGAAAGGTTATATAGCTAATTTGAAATTTAAGACCTAATATATCAACAAATCTAGTCGGGGTATTCCGGCATTCTTTTATCCTCTTCTGAATTTTTAGTTAAATAAAAAGATAATTTAAAATTTAGGAAATAACTGTTTAGATTTAAAAATTAGTAGATTATTGGATAATTTATGGAATATTTTTTAAATTCGTAATTTATTAAAAATTCTCCTCAGATATCGTTTTGCTATTCCCGAAATGGAAACTCGGTGTATTTGTGAGTGTGAGTCTGGAAGTGCAAATTGTGCAGCTGCTCATTACAAATATGGGCAATGTTCGGATGAAGAGATAGAAAAAGACAAAGGAGGAGAAAGCGGGGGAGATTATGAGCAAATAGATAATTGGGCTTACAAAAGAGAAGGAAATAATAAAGAAAAAGTAAATTTTAATCAAAAAAATAAAATAAAAATTTAGAAAAATTAAAGTCACAATCAGTCTGTCATCGAACATTTTTTGCCAATCAGCCAACAGGAGAGCATTGTTCTCGTCATGAACAATATTCTTCTAATGCAAGGCTGTGTTGCCAGTTGAGATTTAGAGCTTTTCGTGACAAAAAATTTGTTGCTCTAAAATTAGAAAATGCTGTTAGTTCTGTCCTGCTACAATATTCACAATGGAGTTGGAAGGAAAATAATGAGAAAAAATTAAAAGGTCGTTGGGAGGAATTGGAAAAAAGAAAAATTAGAATTCAATTGGATGGAGCCATTCACAATACAGTGAGTGAAAATTGAAAGAAAAAAACGAAAAATATTTTCAGATTTTGAGTGAAATTTCTGGTTTAAAATTGTCGGTTTTGGGTCTAGCTGGAGCTAAATCGGCAGGTGTACAACTTGATGCTGGCGTTTATTTTGCAGAAATTGGATCTGATGGAACAATTGGAGAGTTAATTGGGCAAATGCCAGTAAATAGAATAACAGAACATGAGTATGTTTTTAGATATACATATTTATAGTGTGTATGGCAAGGATCAGCCTTGCTACTTCTTAAAATCCTTAGGGGCCATCTCTAAAGCGGTAGGGTAAATAATAGGGATTCTGCAGCCCATCCCTGCTGTATAGTCTCTTCCTAATCTCTTCTTAGATGGTCTAATTAATATTATATTTTTATTCAGTTTTCATAAATTGGGATGGCTTCGATTAGATGAAAGAAATAAACCGTTTGTACAAGCTGGCGAAGTTTTCATAGATAAAATTCATCACGCTCGTGCTGAAGATTGTGCCACACAAAAATATCGTTCTGTACTTGATGCTAGCTATTATATTAATGCTGACAATAATGTAAGTACTAATTAATTTTTAATGTAATACAGCAAATTACTTAAAGGCCTCTGCGTTATTAGATTGGAACATAAAAGTATCCCATACCCATAGAAATCCTTTAAGTTATATATGATAGGATTTTTTTGATATAAAAGATGTCCTTACTAGGGTAGGGTTGATGGATCCTGGGAAATCCATGGGTACCGAGATCTGTCATCGAGATCTGATATCGGATCTGATTTTCTATCTTACCGTTAACTGTGGAGAATATACCTTGATATATTCAAATAAAATATATTTTATTTAAATATAATTTTTTCAGGCAACTACACAATTCAAAATCCCCGAAACTTTAAATAAAGTTAATAAATGGATTCGTTCTGCTCGAATATTAGATTCAAATCAGAGAATAGCTTTAGTTCGTGTCAGTGAAGGATTATCTTTAGAATTAACACTTTCAGCACAAAAAGAATTTTTGGAAGAATCGGAAAATAAAAAACAAAGGCTAATAACTTTTGTTCATAATTCTTCAAAATTGGGAGATTTTACTGCTTTATTAATTGTTGACAAATTTTCTAATTCATTGCTTAATTTAACAGTTAAATTAATTAATTATTTATAATTAAGGAAAGATTATTTTTTTAAGTTATTTAATGCTAGTGGTGTTTTAAACGGATATGTTAGACCTTTAAATGATTTATATGGAAATACGGAAATTGATGGATTTAGTGTAAATGTACCTAATATTGAAGAAAATGTTAAAAATAAAAATAATAAAATATGGATGCCAATATCTGTTCAAACAAGAATTAAACCATATCCTTTGGGAAGTATTCATCTAGTTTGTTTAAGGTGTGATTTTTGTTTATTTGAAACGTCGAATTTTTATAAAAAAAAATAAAAATTATAGACCAGACGATGGCGAATTATCAAGAGAATTGTGTCGACCAGTTCAATCAGTTTATTATGAATTAGAACAAAACACAATGCAAAATGAGTGGAATGAGGCTATTGGGGCATGTAAAGAATGCAATAAAATATCAGCTGAAGGATTTGCAAGATATTTAAATCCTGCAAATTGGGTTAAAGGAATTGGATCTGTTAGTGAAGCTCTAATGCTTGCTTCTGATATTCTTGGTTATTTAATTGTTATTTCGGTTAGTTTTTGAATAAAAAAAGAATTTTATAGGTGGATTGATTGATTAAATAACCGAGGGTTTTTCTGAGTTTTTAAAAGTTTTGTTGAAAGTTTATCGATAAAACTCGATCAGTCCTCTTAGATACAAAAGTACAATTAAGCCTCCTCTCTCTTTTAAATTGAATCCAAAATACATAAGACCAAGCGGATATAAATATTTAAATATTATATATTTTTTGAAAATATTATAAATTAAATAAATTCTTAATTTTTTAGATTTTTTATGTCCTACTCAGCAAAGTTATAATTCCTATATTTGGTTGTTGTTTCACTTGCACACCTACTTATAGATGTTTTGGCAGGAAAAAATAGTCTAAAATTTGTTTAAAAATATTCCAGAAAAATATACGGGTCACTTCTACATTCTCAAAATTAATTTGTTGATTTATTAGAATTCGACATCTCCAAAATGCCGGGTCCGGTATCTGGACTCGTGTCCAGATTCCTGTCTAGAACCCTGGAAATTCCTAAAGACGGATATAATCAAAATACTCGGTTTCTGGGCTACCTAGCCCGGGAAACCCTTCTCATATGTAGGCCCGGTCGATGTCAAACTCTACTTATAAAATTTACTGTTTTAATATTAATTTAGTTTTAAATTGATTTAATAATTTAAATAAAAATTGTGCCTTTATTAAGAACTGATTTGTTTTAATTCTTAATTTTATAATATTTTATTTTATCAAATTACTCATCTGCCTTATAATTGGTTTTATTTTTCTAATATTTTGATTTCTTTTGTGATGAATAATTAATGGCCATTCAATTCTGTGATATTAATTTGTACAAATTATAAACTAAAAACTCTCATTTCATTTAATATCCAGGGTTGCTGGTGGTTATCCAAAAAATTTGTAGGTTGATCGGAACCGAGATAAGCCCGATCAACCAACAGCAACCCTAAATGTAATATTCTATTTTTATATAAGATTTACCTTCTCACTTAGTCTATCCTCTTAATAAATTTTAATATTTTAATTAAACCATTTCATATACTATCCTTGTTTGATTTTTTAAAAATAAATTGAAATTTTAATTAATTCTGGGCTAAAATTTGTATTTTTATTTAAGTAATTTTGATGAAAGTATAATTTTTAATCGATAATAAAAGATCTTAATATACGGAGCTCAACTAGTTGGAAAAACGTGAGTATAATATTTTTAATTTGATTGCCATTGTTTACATGAGCCACAACATGTGCGTATACATCATTATATGTAGTTTTTCAATTTAAAGATGTAGATTTAAGTAAGGTATAACATTCTTTTTATATGCTGAGCTAAGATGACTTGAGAGAACTCGCCATAAACTGAGATTTCAGTGTAAATAAATAATCCAAACATTTATTTGTCTAATTAGTAACAATTTATTTATTTTTAAATTTGGCAATAGAACTATGAAAATAAAATTTATTAAAAAATCAACTTTAAAACCTACAATATATTAAAAATTAATTAGATAGCTTATCAGGATCATCTAAAAATAAATCAACTATTTTTGAAATTAGCCACAAAATTCCATCGAAAGTGCTTTTAAAACAAATAAAATTTATATCTAAAATTAAAAATTACAAAAACAGAGTTAAAAAGGCGCAAAAACTAGCAAAAAACCAGGTAGTACACCTATCACAAGGGGCTTGTATTAATTGATTACAAGTTAAGCAATGTCGCTATAATTTATGATTAATGATTTTGAAAAGTTTGGTACGCGATCCTAGTAACCGCCCGGCGATGATTTTTAGGTTCCCCAACGGCTGAACAGCTTTTCTTATTCTGTGGACGAAAAAGAATTCTCATATTCTCCATCATGGAACGACTACGAAACTGGAACTGCGTAATGGAAAGTTCGGGAGAAATAGAAAATTGTAGACCCAATGATGATATATATTTACTTACATCTCCTTCTGAATCTGTGTAGAAAGTTTGTGTAATAGGTGGGACATTTAATGATGTCGACTGTGTTAAAGAAGTTGCTGGTGTTTCAATATAAGGTGGAGGTGGCACGTTCATTTATTCTACGCAGTATATACATACATTAGATATACTTTAATCCAGTGCTGTCCCAGAATCTAAAAAAGTTCTCCATCTACCTACAAGTAATTTAGTTATAATAAACTACTATTTGAAAATATTAATTTAAAAAATAATTTTAAATTAAATAAATTAAAGATTGCCAATATGTTTCTCTAGCTTTAAATAAAGTTAGGATAAAATGCTGTTACGGCTAAAGTGTGAGGCTATGTATTTGTCAAACAAATGACAGCTTCTTTGTTATTAAACAAAAAATGGGAAAGAGAAAACATATCGATTGTTAAAAATATTTTGGAAAGGCTGGCATGAAAATTTTTTGTTAGTTTTTTAAGTAAAATATTACAAGTTCTACAATTACACAAAATTTCTAATTATTTTTTTGAATAATTAAAATATACCTAACATTCGGTAATTTCCAAATACACTAACCAAATAGAGAATATTATAGTAAAGATTGAGAAACTAAAATAAGCTTGTTTAGTTTACTCTGAACAAAAACTTTGAAAGGATTAGAAAATACATAAAGTTGCTGTCATATAATAATTTAAAATATAAAAAAAGCTGAAAGAAGATTTCGCTATTGTAAAATGGGAAACAAGAAATTACTATTGAAAATTCATTAAGAGAGAACTGTAAAAGATTTGGACAAAAATAAAATTTTTAATCACATACATGTTATAATATTCTGTAGCTTACCTTAAAAAATTAGCCTTTTACATATCTGCTTTTAAATTAAACTTTTGGACTTCAACTTTACTTTCTGCCAATCCGAATCTTTTGTTAGACTCTTTGTTTTTCGCTACAAATGTGTTTTTGAATTATTTTCGTTCAGCTAGTCACGTATACTTCAAAATCTTGGGCAATTTGGTGAACATTTTTAATGAACGCAAAAATACTAAATATTCTTTAGGAGACTATTCATCTTCCTGGCTTTGTTTGAAAGGGCGAGATGAAATCTGTAACCAGAATTAAGTAAAGCGGTTGGTTCCATTTCCCAGTGCCTTGTTGTTCAGTTGATGTTATACGCAGAGTCGCGCATGCTTGCAATCATGTGTGAACTCCGCAGAGTATAGAAATAGGTGAATCGCACGCAGTGGGGGAATATAAGGGGAGACGTCTCTCCCTTTACACGATGGATAAGCCGGCCGGCAACTCTGTTGAATGAATGAATGAAGAAGTGATCTACCTTTGCCTATTCCTTTAGGGCTTATATGCACCAGCCTACTTCCCTATTGCTTTCCCAAGGATAAGTTAGTGGCGATAACAAGCTTAGATAATGGGCGGCTAATAACTCTCTGGGAATGGCCGTTTGTGGCGTTCTTTGCCTTTTCTCTGGGAACTTCCGTTAACTAAAGCAAAGTTTAGAGCGACATTATTGTTCACGTGATTTCAGGATGATCCCGGCCTTACACCTCTAACCTTCCAATAGACCGTCCCTGGTCGTTAAGATTTGACCATCCTCTACACCTCTAACCTTCCAATGGACCGTCCCTGGTCCTCTTTTTATTTTTATATTACATGAATCCCTCAGGATATAATTTTTTTTAATATTCATTCATTTTGTTTGTTACATGTGAGAGTCCCGCAGGACTTATGTTTGAAACAAATTAATAATCTGCGTAACGTTGAGAGAAAAAATTTTTTAGAATTTAACGAGATTATGAGGCTTTAAAAATATAATGTAATTACAACTAACAGTGCTTCAATATTTGATGCTCTTGGGTTGGTATTTAATTTGTGCAAAACTTTCAATAACCTTAGGCATTGAAAAGCTAATTTTTGCCTCCGGATATATGTTAATTCTCTGGATTGCACCATATTTTTTGATAGATCTTTCAGCTGTTGTTTTGGTCATCTTTTTATTTTATTTATATTTAATGACCCCTAAGGGTTTATATTAAGCAGAAATTTTAAAGCGCTAGACGCAACGCATAATGAAAGATTTAAATATTTTTGTGGAAGGCGAAACAGAAAGCTCATAAGGTCTTTGTTAAGATAAAATTTTTTTGTTAAATTAAAGTGTTAGGCGTAGTGCAGCATTTGAATGATAAAAGGGACTTAATTTTGTGAAAGACGCATGGATCATGTACAGCGAATCGTATTATTTGCGTTAAATTTTGGCCTTTCTTAGCGATTGTCTATTCTTTTTTTCCTAGTTGTGTCTTCGCGTTTGTCCCTTCCAAAATTAAGTTATCTAACTTTAGTATAGAAAATGGCAACTGTGGTGGAAATGATTAAAATATGTTGAACAAAAGATGACTGCGAGAAATGAAATATTTTCTACCACATTGCTCCCCAGTTGATATGTTTTTAGGATATCTTTTCTTGACTTACTATGTGTTTGTCAATGGTTAAAAATGTCAATTTGTCTTAAGAGAATTTGCGTTCATTTATTTTAATTATTATTCAATTGAACCCCTCAGAGTTTTATAACATAGATTTAAGTGTATCTGAAACTTGCTTGAACTCTTTTTTTTGGAAAAAAAAATTGTTGAAAAAAAAATTTTTGCTGTTTGATCAAACATTTTTATTTCATTAAAGACTGTTACAAATTTTTATTAAAAGGCTTTTGAAAATTTCGCATCTTGAATTAGGGACAAAAAAATTTTTTAATATTTTAAATTTAAAATACCTGATACCATTGGCGGATATCTGATTAGACTCATACTAGATTCTGTAAGCCTTCTCAATGATTTGATGTTATTTTATTTATTTTAATGACGATGTCGTTTAATATTTCACTTTGTGCTTTTAGCATTTGTTTAATGATTGATTGTTCTTCAGCTAATTCTTCTAGAGTTGGATATTGCTCCAGGTTCTGTCGTTTACTACAATTGATCTCAAGATGACCTATCTTGTCACAATAGTTGCATATTGATTGGTTGTCATGTTGTTTGATTGTTTTACCTTTTAATTTGCGCGAACCCCACAGGGTTTTACTGTAAATATTTTCATTTGATTCGTTGTATGTGTTTGCCTTCATTGAAGTGCTTTGATCATTGATTAGGCATAAAGGACTGAGCATTGATTTGAGTTAGCGCATAACATTTGTTCTGCCTCTTGAGCATTTAAAAGTAATGTGTCGAAATTCGATCTGCTAGGCCCAGTCAGTCTTCTTGTGAGAAATTGAAGAGTTGGACTAAGCTTTTCAAGGAAACTTCTGCAAAGCGTTTCTTCTGAGACATTTCCTTTGTTGTCACAAGAAGTTGCTTCTATCATAGGAATTAATCTGGAAGCAAATTGCTCCACTGATTCTCCTTCATTCTGTTTGCATATGCTTAAAGCCTTGAAGATTAGTTCACGATTTTGTGTTGTATCTAAATTTTCTTTGATTTTGTTAATGGCTCCCTCAAGAGTTGCTTTTTCAGCTTGGGGTATTTTGTCAAATATTTTTCTTGCCTTGCCGTCAAGCATACTTTGAGACGGGCAATTTTGTCTGTTTCATCCCACTTACCATTGCATTCGATTATATCTTTGAATTTCCTAGCCCATCGTATAAACTCAATTACCGAATTCCCTGAGAAAACTGTGAATGTAGGAACGTTCTGTCGTGAGCATACCAATATAATGGAATCCCTCAGGATTTTTATAAAATTCGTTTGTGACTCCCTCAGGAGTTTTGATTGTATTATTGTTTTTTAAAGAATGTGAGGATTTTTCCTCATAGGGAAGAAAAGACATTGAATTAGACGAGATTGGAATTAATAATAAAAATTTTAAAATCTGAAAAATACAAATAAATAATATAATAAGAATTAAAATAATTAAAAATAAATTAATAAAAAACCCAATGATGAAAGTATTAATGAGATGAAGGATATAAATGAGATTAAGATGCTAAGATATCAGCTTTTTTATGTTTCAGCTTTCCCATTGACTAATCTTTTTTATACAGTGAGATTAGAGAAGGTTTGTGAGAGTAATATGATTATTTACAATCTGGGAATTGTTTACATTAAAATGAAAAGGAAGAAAATTTTATTGTGAAATTGACTTTCGATCACTGAGAAGAGATCAAGATGGCTTATAGTAATAATTCCTGTGGGAAATATTAATGAAATACTGGAAAAATAGAAAAAAAATTTTTTTGAAAATGTGTAATAAAGTAAATTTTCATATGGACTTTGTTCTAGAAAAAAAATTTTTAATTTTTTTTTTATAATTTTTTGTAAATTTTCGAGTTTGGGAAAATTGAAGGAAATTTGGGCAATTAAAAAGAAGAAAAAGGAACTGTCAAATGTTTTCTAGAGATAAACTGATTGAAAACTAGAAAAATTAGAAAAATTAAAAAGGAATCGGAAGAACGAGAAATAAAAATTTAATTTCTGCCCTCAGAATTTTAATATAAAATAAAACCCGCAGGTTATGAAGTAGAACTTGTCATGCTTTGAGAGATATAGTTTTTCTTAGTATTTTTTGAGGGCCCACGCAAAGTTTTTATTGCAGACCTATGCAATTTTATTTATCCTCGTGTGAAAATGTTTCTTGTTTCCCTCAGAATTGATCTTTTTGGTACGTAAAAATTTTGTACGTAAAAAATTTTTTGTAGAATGCGAGAAATACAAAAACATAAGAAAACCAAAAAAATAAGATACTGATAAAAGAAAAAATTCATAAGTCGGTACTCTCTTATTTTTGAAAAATTTGGAAAAAAATTTCTGAGGGGCCATCTAATAATTCAAAAATGTAAATGAACCCAGCAGATTATTTAAGACTTTATTTTCGTTAATAAAACTCCAGCCGAATTTTTGTCCTATACCAATAATAAATATTTTTGTCCTATACCAATAATAAATCTCATACCAATTTTTCAGATCAATCTATTCCTATTTTCTCAAGGTCCCATTGCTTAATGTCTATTACTTGACATTGTTTAACAAAGTCTTTTTGAATTTGGAATTTTCATAAATATAATTAAATTAATTCTGGACTTTAAATTCTAAACTCGAAATTACAAGTAATTTTCGTTCCTAAATTTC